TCTTCACCATGTCTACATGACTAAATGCATTGAGCTGCTGCCATGTGATTGGCTGATTAGCTATTTGTGTTAATGGGCAGTTGAACAGATGTACCTAATAAAGTAGCCGGTGAGTGTAACTAGTTTGAAATGCAAGCAGCTGTAATTACATTTTTGGATAACAAAAGTTTTTTGTGGGTTGAAGTTTGGATGTTTTAACTGACTGTAAACATATCAAGCTTTAAATCTTTTTGGGAGAAGAGAAGGTGAAGTATTAATGTTGTATCTCCGCTCCTCCAGCTTATACAGAGTCTGCCCCAGGTGGAGGCCTGTGCCGTGGTTCTGCACGAAGCCTCTCGACTGCTTGCCTTTGTCGTGGCGTCCACATCTGGAGACCAAAAAGCAGATTCTCCTCTCACATCTGTAACGGGGCATGCGGAACAAACAGCCTCAGTCGAGCGTGGTGAAGACCTCCCCTCTGCTGTAAAGCACCGTCAGGAGGAGCCGGGCGGCACAGATGGAGATCTGAGCAGACTCATCCTGAACCAGCTGTCTCTGCTGCTGCCGTCTTACAGCATTCCCGACACACTGCTACTTGTCCCGGCCTTGTGTTTGACTCCTCATGGTGAGCATCAGACACACAGTCACTGCTGAGGACAGACGATAATGCATCACTGTTTTAGTTTCTTTCTGTTTGTTTTACGGCAGGCAAAGTGGACATGAAGGCACTTCTAGATATTTACCAAAGACAGAGACGGTGTTTAGAGTCTTCACAGGGAGATTTCAACAAACTGAAGCAAACCCTGCAGTCCTTGTGGCAGGTATGACCAGTTCACTACTTTTGACCACACAATTTTGAATTTAAATATCTCCTGCTGTAATTTGTGGCATCAATTTGAATTCACCTACCTATCAACAGAAAGCTCTAGATCTGCCTGAAGATGAAACCATCAACGAGGAATCCAACTTCCTGTTGAGTGGAGGAGATTCTCTGAAGGCACTACACCTGTGTGAAGACATCCTCGCTGCTGTGGGAGCGACCTCACCAGAGCTTTTGGAGGTTATACTTGACGGGACCTTCTCAGACATGCTGCAGCACGTTGAGAGAGTTACACTGACGGTGCCACTTGAGAACAGCCGGTCTTCTCCGTCTGAGGCCAAGAAACGCCACTCTGACGCTCCCTCTGTGGTGCCAGCGAAGAGAGGACGCACAGATTCCACAGCAGCAGAGAGGCCGCAGGGGGAGACGTGGGCTGTTAAAGTTATAAGACGAGCAGGAGAGGTGATGGAGATGCAAAACAGACGTCCACAGACTAATGGAAACTTTAAGGCTGATGCACCTGGCGTGAAGGATCCCAGTAAGAAATGCAGAGATGATGTTCTGGGCCTCAGTCTGAGCTGGTCCTCAGACACAGGCAGATGTGTGGACACCTCCCCGGTGCTTCTGGTACAACACAGAACAGATGTGAAGTCAGCAACAGTGTTCATCGGCTCCCACTCTCACAGGATCCAGGCTTTAGACCTGACCACCGGGAGCCTTCTGTGGGAGCGAGTTCTTGGGGACAGAATCGAAGCCTCAGCCACGGTGTCTCGCTGCGGGAGCCTCGTGGTCATAGGTCAGCATCAGCTCTCTGGATATTGTATGAAAATATGTTACTGTATGTTTTTTGCCTTCAGGGTTTATTTTTGGATTTTCACAGGTTGCTACGATGGCTGTGTGTATTTCCTGTGTGCCACGTCTGGAGAGACATGTTGGAAGTTTGAGACAGGAGACGCTGTGAAGAGCTGTCCTACTGTGGATCCCCTCACAGGTCTGGTGATAGTCGGCTCACATGATGGGCACGTTTACGCCCTGGACCCAAAGGTAGGAAGCCTTTAAATGTTTTGTGGCAAGTGTCTTGTTTCATGTTGGTTAAATGATATTACTGCCAGTGACAGGAGCAAGATTGACAAGTTTATTAACCCTTTAGTTTCCTCTCAGGGGAGTAACAGTTATCTAAACTAGAACATGTATGTAGTAGAGATAAATCAAGGTAAAAGTGTGTGTTCTTTTAGGTCCAGCGGTGTGTTTGGAGGCGTCACTGTGGGGGTGGAGCTGTGTTTTCCTCACCCTACCTCCACACCTCACTCAGGTGGCTGTATGCAGCGTCACTGGGAGGTCACCTCCTCTGTCTTAACCCTGTGAGTAAACAAAATACCAAACATCGGTAAAAAGTTTTCCCACTTAAGTACATTTTGACCCAGGCTGCACTTTGGTGTCTGATGAGTGTGTTTCCTGTTCCAGGACAGCGGAGAGGTCCTGTGGTCGTACCGTAGAGACACCCCGTTCTTCTCTTCACCAAATGCCTCCTCTGGTCAGGTGGTAATCGGATCGGTGGACAAAAACATCTGCTGCTTCAGCAACTCAGGGACACTGGTGAGAAGCTGAACATAGACTGCTACGTCTCTCCAGGGCTGCATTCAGCCCCGGGAAACATAGCTAAATGTTAATTGAAACCAAAACGGTGGTGCGTTAAACACCCTGTTGTCGGAGACATGAAATACAATACTTTTCGATGTATGTAATATTCATTCATTGTGCAAAATAAGGAAAAGCATGTTGGCTGAATCTGATATTTCATTTTAAAGCCGATATCAACGTCAAACTTATATTATCAACATGCAGGTCGACTCTAATGTTTCATTTTAAAGCTGATATCAGCTGGTACCAATGACGTGCTGATATTATCAAGCATCCCTAGAATTTTACCACCTAAAAAATCAGTCAAAAAGAATAATTCACCTACAGAATGACCATTTGTCAATCACTTAATCGTGCTATGTTGCCTTGAATTTGTGATGAAAACGGCAAACGTATTGATTCGTTGATTGATTGGGGACCACGTTTAACAACAGCAAAACTATATCAAAACATCTGTTTACAAACTCTCACACAGCTCTTATCAGGGGATATTTTGATATAATCTTTCTGTTGTTAAACACGCCCCGCATCAATAAATAAATCAATATTTCTGTTGGCCATTTTCCGTGGAGGCATGTGAGGAAAATAGTTTTTAGTATTCTTTTAGGTGTACTTTGTGTATTTTGAATACTTTCACCTTTCTAACAGGAAACTGAAGCCGTTATCTTTGCTCTACAGACCACATTGACAAAAACTGTAATTTTACCTCACAGAACACAGGAGCTGCTGCCTCCATCAGCTAGTTTGAGTTATTGTGTGACTTAAGTGTTTTAAAGGGTTAGTTTGGATTCTCCAAAGTCACACACAATGACACATACAAATAATCTGACTGAGGCAGCAGTAGACCAACAACTCCCATGTTCAGTGATGTAAAATTAGTGAAGGGTTTTTCGGCTTTGAAGAGAGCATAGCTGGATATAACAGTATCAGCTCCCCTCCTCCCTGCTTCTCCAAACTAGCTCCATCTACTGTAGGTAAAACGCTGACCCCATTTCAAAAAATCCAATCTATCCCTTTAAGGATTGCAAGTTTTTCAAATTGAGCAAAAGCTATTTTTAAATGTGTTTCTCTGCAGGTTTGGCAGTTTTTAACAGAGGGACCCGTCTTCTCCTCTCCGTGCGTCACGCCAGACCGGCAGAGGGTTCTGTGTGGATCACATGACGGCCGTCTGTACTGTTTGAACTGTGACGACGGCTCTTTAGTTTGGACGTTCCAGACCACAGGGAAGGTGTACTCCAGTCCGTGTGTGTTTGATGGCTCTGTCGTGGGCAGGAGGGGGAATCTGGTGGCTCTGGCCTCCACAGACGGCATAGTGTGGGTCTTAGATGAACAAGATGGACGAATGCTGGCGTCATTCACTCTACCCGGGGAGCTGTTTTCATCCCCAGTGGTGTATGAACGCTCCCTCGTAGTCGGGTGCCGCAATGACTATGTGTACTGTCTAAAGCTGACTGTCAAAGAGGAAACATAGAAGGATGAGGTGTATTTATCTTTTTTATAATAAACACTGATTGCTTTTTAATCTGTGTCAGAGCCAGAGGGTGCTTTGGGAAATAAGCTTTAATTAAAGTTGAGGGAAATAATGAGTCTTCCAGTTCAGACATCAGTATTTAATTTACATTATTCATAACATTTTGTGTCTCTTTAAGAATTTTCTCATGAATATCTCTAAGTGGGACAAAAAAAGTGCAAATAATACCAAACATTTTTTTCTTGTTACATATAACACTGCGTACACTACACTATTGTGCACGACCAACGTTAGAAACAAAATGACAAAGTGACTCCTTCTGAACGAAGCTCCGGTGACACCTTCCACTTCCATACAGTACATACTTACATACATACAGATCGTTAAGTTGAGTGGCAGGAAATGAGAATGCTTGAGGGCTTCTTTTTTCCTCCATTCACAGAGGAAATGCTTACATCATTATGTAAGATCATATCACATTTACGAGGAAGTGATGGCGTAAGCCTACAAACACAAGTGTGTTACGGGAGGACGGCTACGAGAATTGTATGTTACAGCAAGCAGGTGTTGTGTCTGTCTCCATAAGCAAGAAGAAAAAATCCAAGTCACGTCGTCACACAGCTGTGAGGGTAATGTGTGGCTCACTGTAAATGCCCAGTAACACTTGTGGTCTTCAGTGCTGTGTTTAGGTGCACCCACCGTGTGATCATGACAGATTCTAGGTTACTTTAAAATGGCAAAAATTGTACAATAGCCTGTTTGACAGCTATCACAGTCATCACGGACACAGTGAGAAGTGTTATGCTAAGGTTGTGAGTATGAGTAAAAAAAAAAAAAAGGCTTCTTTTGTACATGACAAACAAGGCTCAGAGGAGATACAGTATTCTTCACATAAATAATACCAACGCATGTAACACTTCCATCAGATGCAGATTCAACAGGGTCATGTCGAGTTATTGTTACTGGTAGCCCTTAAAACACGATTCAGACAGTTACCCTCTGTTGATTAAACACTGTCACATGTCAGAGCTTCACCTCTCTACTAAAGACACCTTTTATTGTGTTGAGCGAATGATTTATTTACAACCATGGTGACACAGTTGGCTACAAAATAAAATAAAAAAAACAAAATCGGGGTTGGCTATTGCGATGGCCAGCCGTGGTTGTGATTGGCTGCTGCCCCCCCAGACTGCGACATGTTCATTCTATCTGTGGGACATTATACTTTGTGTGTTTGTATACAGTATGTGCATGCGCGCAACAATTGTTTACATATATCTGTGCGATCGTATTGGAATATTTGGATGTGAAGCGCACTTTAACATGATAATAGTACCAGCCAGTGTGTGTGTGGGGTTGCGAGGTGATGGAGGGCTTTACTTGTTTCACAGTCAGGAGGGTTTTCATGGAGGGCAGAGGGGGGACGGGGTGATGGTGACTCTCCAGGTGCTTCAGAGTCTGTGGGCAGTGTGCAGTCTCGATGCAGGTCTGAGCCCAGAGTGAAGCTGGGGTGGGTGGGGGAGGGGTTATTTGATGATCTGAGGACAGTCGCTCCAGGCTTTGGCCTTTCGCTTGGCCAGAGCCAGCCATGCCGGCTCTGTGGACACCTGCGGAGAGTCACTGGAGGGGAAGCGCTTTGACACCTCCTTGACAGCAGGTGGCGACGGTGTCGAGTCTGCGATCTCAACTGACAACAAATGAAGGACAATAATTAGTCACATATCTTGTAGTTACACCACACAGCCTTTAAAGGCTCATTTAATGAAAGAAGCTTAATGAAACTAATTTAGCTGCAAATATTCATCAACATTAGTCTTCAGATTATAAATATTATTTATATATATGATCTTTAAAACATCAGATAACAGTGGAAAATGTACTTTACAATTTCTTAGAGCCCAAGGTGATGTATGTTTTGCCTAACCAACAGTCCCTATAGCCTCAAAAATATTCTGTTTTCCAGAATGTTTAACAAGGAAAAGCAACAAATTCTCACATTTGAGAAAAATTTCAAATATCAGAATAGTTATTGATTAATTTTCTGTCAATTGACTGGTTGTTGCAGCTCTATCCTACTGTAACATATAAATACTAAATAAATATTTTTAATTATTAACAAATTATTGAAATCTTTAAAAGTTTCAATATATTGTTTTTACAGATTCAGGGCTGAAACCACCAGGTATAGCCGATATTAATTAATCTGACTGTTTATTATTTAGTCTGTCTGTCTTTAATAAATATGAATGAATACATTTCCATCACAATTTCGCAGAAGCTGACAAAAAATAATCTAAACTAGAAAATTTCTCAAGAAATTCTGACTGGGTGCCTGCTCCCACCACCGATTTCATGAAAACCTAGTAATCAAAATGTCCATTTAGCTCAATAAAGTTCTAAATCTCACGAACTGTTTAAAGGTTAAATCTTTTTTTTTTTTTTATGTCAAAATATGGCGATTTGGTCGAGCCTCAAATAGGAGTCATTTTAGCTCTGGTCACATCAAATTCTCAGTGATCTCCTGTCACATTCAAACGGAAATTTAACAGTTTTTTGGGACTTTTGTAAAAACGTTTTGTTGAATCTCTGAAAAAAATCTTAGCACACAATTCCCAATCATTACCCACATTTTTATGTATTTTTTGCCCATGTGTTGGCGATGCTGCGAGACAAGCAGCATGCAAGAATAAGAAATAAGCTGGATGAATTACATCTGTTGTGCCTGCTGTTGCACAACACACACCCCAAATTACAAGAAAACAAAAACACAGCTCACCCTTTACATTTTAGAATTTCAAAAAACATCTGCAAGAAATCCTTGATTCCCTACGAAATAATCTAAAGCAGACACTAAAGTTTAACCTGCTTTTACCAGCTGCTGCTTTAAAAGTCCTTTTTTAATTTTGTTTTGAATGTGAATCACATGTCCTGTTGAGGCTTGTCAAAGGAGAATTTCCTTCACTGTTGGGACAGACAATAAAGTTTATCTATTCTATTAGCACTTTTGTACTTAAAAAAGCACTTCACCTGCAACATTATCATTGTATTGTATCAATTATACACCCTGTGTCATCTTGAATCTGTGAATTTGTTTCTCATATGCCTCCTCAGTAAATGAAGACTACAAAAAAGGCAAACATTTCTTCATGAATTGAAGTAATCAGTGACAGCGGTTAACGAATGAAGAATTATATCAAAACATTTGTTTACAAACTTTCACACAACTCATGTAGTATAACCAAAGTCTTATTTATCCTCTCATATGCTCAATGCTTCCCAAACAAGTGCGATTACAATTGCAAACACGTCAGTACAGTCTCATGCACAGCTGGGTTGCATGCCTGGGCGCTCAAGTGCATTTGAAGTCAGCCCAAGCAGTGCTTATATGAAAGTGCGTACTCAGGCCCCGATACTCGAAAGCGGAAGTGTTTAAATCATGTTTGCATGTGTTTGGGAAGTACTGAGCATATGACTGGATCAGTGAGACTTGGATTGTGCTGCATGAGCTGTGTGAGAGATTGTAAATGGATGTTTTGATAAAGTTTTGCTAACGAGACAAAGTTTTCTTCACAAATAACGTGACCACAGGGTGTTTAATGGATACACAAATGATCATTTAGCAGGTGAAGTGTTCTTTTACTAAATGAAGATAATCAAAGTCACTCAAATCAAATAACCATTTCAGCTATATATGGTTTTATCATGTTTAGACGTGCAGGTTCTTACCAGTGACCGAGCTGGGTAAAGTGTTGGATTTTTTCAGGTGCTCTCGGCGCTCAAATCGTCCCAGGAGGCTGTCAGGTCTCTTGGGCTCCTCTGGAGTCTGAGGTTTAGAAGAAGGACTGGTGCTCCCGCTTCCTTTGCTCTCTGTGGGGCTTACCAGCGTAACCTGCAGAAGAGATAAACGACTGTATGAGTACTGCCAGATTATGTGAATGTCAGAAGAAATATAAAGTGTGTAACAGAGGCAGTCTGGAGCACATACACTGTCTCTGTCTCGAGCTTGCTTTTCAGCTAGTTTGGCCTCTCTTTGGCTGCGACGGTCCTCTCGGTTCTGCTGCTGCTCCCTGAAGCCCTTCTGCTTCTGCAGAGCCAGTGTGATCCATAAGGGCCCAGCCTCCTTCTCCTGGACCCTTGCACTGTCCAGGGAGTGCCTGCTCTGTAGTGAGGGTTTTTCTGCAGGGGAACACAGTCATATTGAAGTATTAGTAGGGCAAACATACAGACTCCTGATCAGCAATAACAGCATAGTGACTGATCACAGTAACACTGACCTCTCTTGATGAGCTCCGTCTTTCTGTCCGCCTTCTCTCTCCAGGGGATGTTGATGGAGGGGAAGAAGGATCTCTTCTCCTTCGGCTCCTCGTCCCCTTGGACCTGACCCTGGCTGCTCCGGTGTAACTGGGCCACAGCTGAAGGTTCCTCGCACCTGCTTGTTGGCTCCTGGCTGGATGACTCTGCTGCGCCTGTCCTCTGGATCCCAGCATCACTGGGAGGCCCGTGGACCACTTTAGGTAGCGGCGATGGGGGAGGTGTGGACACTGCTCCACTGGGTTTGGGTGACGTGGTTGGTCTTCGGTAGAGCGGAGGCTTGGAGAGCACTTTGTCAGCCTCACTGTGTGCAGTCGGGCTGGCAGACTTAGCAGGTTTAGCCCGAGGGATGGCGGGGGAGGCGGCTGCATGCAGGTACTTGCCCACCGCGCCTTCTCTCTGAGGCGATGTGGGACTTGCAGATTTGTCAGAAAAGACAGAGGAAGTGTCAGAGTCTGGCTCAATGGGGGTGAGAGGTGAAGGAACGCCGTCAAAGCTGTCCCCGGCACTGTATCGTTTCTTCCGTTTCTCAGTGGACTGTTCGCCGTGAAAGCGGAGGGAGTAGTTGGTCCTCCTCAGCTTTATGCCAAAAGGCGAGGGCTTGTCCTCACCGTCCTGGCCTCGATCCTCTCCCTCCTCTCTACTGTCAGACACCGCCGTCTCACTCTGAGCCCTGCTCTTCACCTCTAGCCCTTCAGGTTTGGCTCCAGGGCTGGGAACCAGGAAAGAGGGGAGGTCTTTGGCAAACATACACTCCTCTGACCCTCTTTCTACGATGCGGACGGATTTACTCGTCCTGTTCTGAGGTTTACTGGTTGGAGCTGGGGAGGCGGCGGTGGGGCTATCGGACGGAGTAACTTCCTCTCCTGCGTCCTTATCATCTGTGACAAACACCTCAGAGTTCCTGTTTGAATCTCCAAACTTCTTCTTCGCAGGAGTGATGGAGAACTTGGCGCTGGCAGACATGGTCTTCCTGAGGTTGGTGTGGGAGAACGCAGGCGGCTCCTCGCTGCTGGGCTGAGGGTGGGTCTTACTCGGGTCAGGGTACTCGTCGTATTTCCCCTCTTCTACCCCCTTGAATATCTTCGATCTGATGCTCGCCCATTCTGCCAGGACGGATTGGTCTGTAGAAAGCGCGGACTCGTTGAGTGATTTGGTTTTGCCAGACTTGCGGTCCGGGGAAGTCTTGCTCTTGGTCGGCGGTGTTCCCTGTGCCTTTCTGTCCTCTCCCAAACCCAGCAGAGACTTGCAGGCGGTGTCCTTGATCTGGTCTAAATTGACAGCTGTCCCACAGAGCTGGGCGCCTGTCACTAGGATGGCTGTGTGGGGGACATATGGAGATGTTGGCAGGTTGGGGGAGTCTGGTACTTCAGAGGAGGAAGCCTTAGTGCTCTCTCTTTGTTCAGCCACAGCACCGCTCTGGTGGCTGGAGGCCGGCGTAACAGGCGTCAGGTTGACCTTCTGGAACAAAATCTGTTTTTCCCCAGATGAAACTTTGAAAGAGAAAGGCTTCTGTCTCTCCTCCATCTCCCTCCAGCGCAGCTCCTCAGCCCTCCTCTGCTCCTCTGCTTCTGCTTTTTTCTTTTCTTCAATCTCCTGCAACCTCAGCCTGTCTGCTTCCTCCCTCTTCTTCCTTTCCTCTTCTTCCTCTCTCTGCTTCCTCTTCCTTTCGGCCTCAAGCTCCTGCTGCCTCCTCGCTTCTTCCTCCTCCTCCTTTTTCCTTCTCTGCTCTTCCAGTCGTCTCCTCTCCTCCTCCTCACGCTGTCGGCGCTCCTGCTCCTCTCGCATCCTCCTTTCTTCCTCCTCCCTTCGGATGCGCTCTTCCTCCTCCCGCCACATCCTTTCTTCTTCCTCCCTCCTCCTTCTTTCTGCCTCCTCTCTAAGCCTTCGTTCCTCCTCCTCCTGCCGTTTACGACACCTCTCCTCCTCCAGTTCACGCAGCCTCAGTTCCTCTGCTGCTCTCTTCCTCCTTTCCTCTTCCTCCTGTTTGAGCCTCTGCTCCTCCAGCTCCCTCCTCCTCCTCGTCTCCTGTCTCTCCTCCTCATGGAGTCTCTGCTTCTTGAAGCTTTCTAGGGACTCAACAGATGCTCTGCGCTGCTCGTCTGTGGAGACGCCTGCTGCCTCGATGTCCTCTCGCACCACACCAGGAATAGAAACCTCTCGGAGGTCCTAGAAAAGTGGAAATATGATGAGTTCATATTTTATTAACCACAACAAATGGTGGGAAATGACACAAATAAATAAAAACATACTAAAAGCATGCATTTGAGGTGACTCATAGTTTGGCTCACCTGTGTAAATCGCCGGTGTTTGCGTGAAACCCTCTGGTTTTTGGGTTTGACGGACAGTTTATGTTTGGCAGCGGTGTTGTCCAAACGAGGAACAGACTGTGGAACAGCGTCCAGATTGATGGACTCGATCGTACCAGTGGGCGGAAGAACTCGTTTGGACCTCGGTGACTTCACTGGGGTGGTGTGTGGTCCGGCTTGTTGAGCCCCCTGGACCTGCTTTGGTCACAGTAACACAGAATTTATTAAAAACTGAAACACATCCAATCTAAGAGTGCTGCACCAAAATAGCATTGCACTCCTATAACACTGTCTGACTCACAATGGAAAGGATCAGAATCAATGCTGCAGAACAACAGCGACTGCCCTTTTTTATCCCACACATTCTGCTTTCTTGCCAAAACCTGGAGCCTACATTAACCATAATGCAACTGAGATGGCCTACAGTTCAATCAGAGGGTGCGCTCCTTTTCCTTCAGCCGGGCAGAATCCAGTAAGAGGTAATGACGAGCACGTGGGAGGAGCATATCTCTTAAACGGAGGTGAAAACATTTTTTCGGCAGGAGGCGGTGGCACTAATAATCAAAATATGGATCTGTCAGAGCGATCAAAGCTTATTGTGTCATTAGTTGTAGACAAGATAATGATGCCACAGAGAATAAAATATGCCAGTAATCACCTGATGGCTGCTCTCATTGAGTTGTAATAGCATAGCAAAGCACTGTACATCCCTATTTAGGGCAAAGACTGTAATCGCAATATTGAATGATTAAACAAAGCATCAGGTGTATATGCTGCCGGAGATGCCTTTAAATGGTGTGCAGACTCCGCCTACTCAGCGTACCACAGACGCAAACTGGCGTGATAATGCTGCAGACTCAAAGATTCGGCTGTATTATGCTAGTAGCAGCTAATGCTTTAAGCCGCTAGCCTTATGCAGAGATGAGGAGCAGAGAGGTCTGGTAAACGTCATAACTCCACATCCTCAGATTTTTTTGTTTTCAGATTCATAGTTTAGCTCCAACTGACTCATGTGACATCACTTGAGGACACTTTTGCGCTACTCCCTCTGCAGCCACAAAAAGCTTTCCAACACCTGTAAACAGATTTTGAAGTGTAAAGCTGTCATTAAATTAAGTTAAAGAGATTCTCTGCCCATTTTCAACCCACTTCGTGTCACAGCAACGTGAGTAGTGTTTGTAAACGAACTGGTAAACTTCCCTCCAACTTTCCGGCACACAGTTCCTTGGTTGAGCTAGATGACGATTCGCATCATCCGGCAGATTTTCACTGGCTGTAGATGTGTTACTTTAACAACAGTTTGCACTTGCATATGCGCACCACCACGGACACGAGGAGTTTAGTGAGAAGTGGATCAAGAGAGAAACCCGCTCCTCTCTCTCAAACTCCGATCAAACTGTAAAACCAAGCAGTGCTGATCAAATATAATGTTTTCAGACGTTAATCAAAACCGTGTGTCAGGTGCTTGTGGAGAATGGAAACAACAGGATACGCAGGAAGGCAATTCAGGTGCTCCATATATATAGAAAACAAGGAAGGAATATTAAAAGCCTTTATTGTTGTGGCTAAATCATTAAAAGAGCCGACATGATTCAACCACTGCACGTCTTTGTTGGGGCTGTAAAAAAGCGACTACAATAAAGGCTTTTAAATACTTCCTTCCTTGTGTTCTTTATTTTTGGAGTGCCTGAATTGCCTTCCTGCGTATACTTAAGCTTACTGTTTAACTGTAATTTGAGATTGTTTGCTACCAGCCATATTGTTTACCGTGTCAATTAATTAGTCCAGTCTAGCACAGTGCATTCTGGTAGTTGTAGATGTGAGCTAAAGCAAATGCCACAGCCCTTTCTTCTGGTCATGTAGCACCAATTTCAAGTTATTTGAGTCTTTCTACAGTACAGACAGTCGTTACCTTTGGCTCTGTGTTTGCTGGCTCAGCTTCTACCTGGGCCAAAACCTTCAGAGGACTCCGGGGAACCTCTTCCTCATCTGAACTCCCCTCATCTCCTTCACTTTTCCTCAGAGAGGGAGGCCTCTGGCCAAATTTGATACCTTGTGCTATCTGCCTCTGTTCCACCAACAGAAGAGGTGACACGTTATGCATGTAGACAAAAGATAACTGCTCAGCAACTGATTGCACACACACACACACACACACTGCTACAAGGCCCACCTGCAGATTCCTGACTTTATCCGAGACGTTTTCCTGGGACATGCTGTGATCTAGGCCGGGCTCTGCCGCCGGCTCCTCTGGGATGAAGATGCTGTCGTGTGAGAGGGCTCGAGATCCGATGGGATTCAGCTCCCTGCAGGAGAATAAGAGCGTCTTCAGTGCTGCAGTGTGTCATTACTGCCAGTCTTTCATTCATTTATCATGAGCGGGCTCGCCGTAAATCATTTTACACAAAGAAATGAATGACCTCTTTACACGCCAGCGGTTTCAGCACATCAATTAAAGGCTGAAATGGTGTTGAGCCTTTTAGAAGCTGTGTTTGAGCAGAGCCTCACCCTTTTGCCCCACAGATTGTGCAACCACAACTTGCAGCGTTCATGAGAGTGTGCGGATAGACTTTCATTTTTTCTGGAAGTGAATGAAATCTGATAAGAAATTGTTTCTTGGATAAAATCTGCTTTGTTAAAGGCAGCAAAGGCCCTAAACTGTTCATAAAAACCTGCGGCTGCAGCTTTTATCAGCAATAATAAAATGACAAGAGCACCGGCTCAGTTTCATTATGTATAACTCAGACAAATAGGTGTGAAAATGAAACTGTATCTGTGTAGTTACCTCAGATTTTGATTGGACTCCTCATCCTCAGACACAACTCCGTTGCACACTTCCCCAGTCGAGAAACTCGCCTTTAGCTCTGCTCCATCAAAGCCCCCCTTCGCCTCCCTCTTCTTCTTCTTCCCAAAGAGTCGTCTGAAGGGCTGGAATTTGCCCTGTCGCTTTCTCTCTGTTGGCAAAAGAAAATAGATGACAACCATAGCAACGTGCAATCAGATCATCAATCTTTATATCTCGCCCTCGGGCAGGATGGTGCCTATGGGCGTGTTTCTGTACGTGTGTGTGTGTGTGTGTGTGTGTAGATAATGAAATGCAATTGATTGAATTTAAAGAAAATAAATCAAAATAGCAGATGGGATGAGAAGAAAACCTTGGCTCTTTGGTTCATACTTACTCGTGTTTAAAAAGGAAGTGGGAAAGACAAACACCACGCAGAGAAACGGAGAACTCACAGTCGTAGCAGCTTTAAAGAAATGGTGAACAAATCCCTGAAATACTGACTGAAATCCATGATTGGTCCTGAGAGAAAGCGAAGCAGTGTAAACTCACAGTGACATCCTGGCTGTCCACATGGCTCCGAGAAGTCATATGTGTGACTCATATCACATTTGACCTGCAGTATTTCAGCAGATAACACCTCTACAAGATGCACGCGTGCCTTATCTGAAGCAAAACGTAAGGAAGTAAACTTTCGTTATTACTTAACGACACACATTACCACTAATCGCTCTGGAAGATTCCCAAATCCATCAGCCAGTGAGGCAATCCTTTCCACATCACGTTACACGGAACAGTAAAACAAAGGAGCAACGTGCTGCAAAAAATCATCTCCTGACCTACGTAATAAAACAGCAGTTGTCATAAAACCAACGTATGAAACTAACTTTTGGACTTTTGCTTGATATCTTTATTTCCTCCTCGTCTTTCATGCCAGAAAGTCATAAACTCATAAGCTAAACCTTCCCATGTGCAAAGGGAACAACATGGTTCTGATCTGTCCTCAGGATCCCAAAGATGAGATCTGTTGACATGATGTCATTTGGAAATGTAAACAGATAGAGTTTAGCCTAATTAAATGTGCGAGTGGTCGTTTTCTCTGTGTTTTCTCAGCGCTGCTTTGTGTTCCTGCATACGTCAGTCCGGCTGTGTGTTTTGTTTTTGTCTGAGTCTCTGTGTACTTCTGGAGGTCTACTGGATGAACTAAGTGGGTGAGGTTACAGAGCTACAAAGCTACTCTACACCGCTGTGCAGACAGGCGTTCTCAGGGCTCGGTGGGTATCCCTTTCAGAGCTATAAGTAGCAACTGGTGTGGGATTTCACCCTGCGTGCTGCTCACTGTACCAGAGGCATCATGGGAAATGAACCAGTAAACTAATTTCCCCACGTAGATCCTCCAGTCTGAAGTGTGTCTTTATTTTAGCGTGGGAGAGTTTAAGTGCTACGTGCTATATATACTCACAAACATATGAATTTATGGAGGATGTGGGAGGTTTTTGTTTTTATTCCGTCTTTGTGCTGCTTCATATAAAACAGACACTGCCCAGCTTTAACTGGAGGGGACGGCTTTTATCCTCTGAGGCTGAATGTGTAACCCATAACTCATGACCATATCAACTACATCAAACTATCAGTAGAGATCAGCTGTCTCATCCAAAGACTACAGTATATCACCACATATTTGTGATGTCGTCACACACACACAAACCCTGTATCTCCACAATGGCAAAATCATATCTGGGGTAAAGGGTCAAATACAGCTGTGACAGATGCAGCAGCTCATTTTGCAACCACAGTCATGTTTGGATCTTCCTGGAGAATATTTGGAGACAACGTTATGTTCTCTGTAATGTGTATTATGACAGGGTGAATAGAGGTATTTAAGGCTTTTTACAACCTTTTCAAGATTATTTTTATTTGGACTATTCATATTCATTGCAGGTAAGTATAAAATATGAAGTGTAAGTATGTGGTGCTGTGCAGAACATAGGTTTAATGTAGGATTATTGTTATTACAGTGAGTTAGAGTAAGTATTAAGTATTAGGTTTAGTGGTGGGTTAAAAGATTTGTAACATCAGAGATTAGGATTTTCACACAGGAGAGCTTGACGGATTTTGATAAAAAAAGAATGTAAAAGGTGGATAATTTAAGAATATTTAATGACTTTTAAGGCCTTTTTTAATATAGAAATGAATTTAAGATATTTTAAGACTTCTTAAGGACCTGTAGACACCCTGTATGAGATGACTTTAACATCTTATGAGCCCTTCCTCCTTCCAGCTGCACTTCTTGACTGTTCTTGTATTTTTATCTCCTTGATTTTAACTCTCCTATTTCTCTTGTTTTAACTGCAATAGTCTAACATTTTGAGAAATACACTTATTTTCTCACTGAGCGTCAGCTGAGAAGATTGATACCACCCTCATGTCTGAATACAGCCAGCAGCTGGTTAGCTTAGCTTAGCTTAGCATAAAGACTGGAAACAAATGGAAACTGCTAGCCTGATTCTGTCCAAAGGTAACAACATCTGCCTACCAGCATCTTTAATGCTAAATAATTAGTATCTTATATCTTGTTTGTGGAATCCAAAATGGAAGTGTAAATTCAACATGTTTTATGCGGAGATTCCAGTTTTGTACAGATTACGGTTTGTTCATAACATTTAGAAGTGCCGGCAGGCAGACTGACTTATTTTTGGACGGAGCCAGGCTGTTTTCTTGCTTCTAGTCTAAGTTAAAGCAACACTTACCTTTCTGGAAATTTTACGCTTTTCTTTGTTTAGGTTAAAATGCTATTAATAAGCTGATGGCACACTAAAATGTAAGTGAATTCCACCAGAGATAAAAACTCATAATTGTACCATTTTCATATGGTTCTAAGAAAACTCCAACATCCAGTTGCTAATGGCTAACGTTTGCCTACTGTAGCGTAGCCTCTGAAACATTAACGTTCAGTGACGGACTCAGGATGTTTGAAGGACAGCAGCAAAAAGGAAAAAAGGGCACCTACTGCATGACATGGGCCCACTGGTGTGCAAGAAGCTAGTGTGTCATGTATGGCGACATAGGGAACATCGTCTCGTTTTGATCACTCAAGAGGGCAGCCAAAAGGGCACATCCTCTCATTTTCGCCACTCAAGAGGGCACTTTAGCGCTGCCTTTTCAACCAAGGCGAGCAGCTTTAACAGACTGCAGACAGTGGCTTCATATAGAACTGAACAGATTTGAGAGTGGCGTTAATCTTCTCATCTAACCCTGACAAGAAAAAAAAAAAAAATAAATAACAGGGTTCCTACACATCTGGAATTTCAAAATTCCATACTTTTCCATACCCTAATTTCCAGACTTCTCTGCGTTTTTGTTTTGTTTTGTTTTTTTCCAGAGAATATGCGCCATCTGAGTAAATATATCAGTGTATCATATTTCACATCATATTTAATTATTCTTAATAGGCGATTGTAGCCAAGTACCATAATGGCATGCAAATAAAAACTCAGGTAAGTTCAATGTCTGGGCTGAGGCAAAAATGTTGGGACTCTGGGTGCAAGCGATGCAGTAACGAGACGTTGGTGTTTTTTCCTTTCATGTGGCTCAGAATCGCCTTCTCCCCCATGTTGGCGATGTCAAGCGATTTCACACAAAGCTTGCATCTAGCTCTGTGTGTGAATTGGGAATCCTTGGCCAACCAGTATTTATATACGGTATTGTCAAGCCATCCATCCAAAAACATGCATCTACCCAATGTGAACCAAGTGAAACTCGTCTTCTTGTAGAAGGTGCAGTGTTGGAGTGAAACTTGATACCTGGGGGGCTGGAGGAGGGTCATGGGGCAGCGGACTGGACATACCACTTGTCAATCAGGTAAAAAGGGCGGTATGTTTTCTGAGACGTTTGCTCTCACACAAACTGTGCTTGGCCAGACATAAAACAAGATCCAGATTGATTAAAATATTTTTGAAAAAACCTAATTTTCTATTTTAGAAAAAAATATTTTAGAACAGTGGTAATAGTCTGGAAACATAAATATTTTTCCATACTTTATTTTTCATTTTCCATACTTTTTAATACCTGGAAACTGATCAAATGTATTTCCTGAAATAAAGGTATTTTCCCCAAACTATTTCTTTAAAATAGCTCTCTTGGCTGTGGTTATACATGAGGTCACGGTTAGCCATTGAGTTCATTTTCGATGAATTCTCCTTTTGATTAATTGATTTTGTTTGCTCTAAAATAATAACAATACATTTTGGGTGGGTAATCCTCCAGTTCAGTCTTTGTGCTGCTTTAATGAAATGTCACTTTCATTTTTAATCTTTGCCTTATTTCTTTTTTATCCTCTTGTAGTATTGTGGTATTGTCCCTTTTAATTTTCTTCCTTTTCATGATTATCACTTCATATTTCGGACCTTGATGTTAACTTCAGGGTGGAGATGAAGGCAGATTAACTATAAATGTGCCAGCTTTATGTTTTCAGTGGGAAGGGCCTGAGAAAAATGTAAATTCTTTATGGAATTGCTCTTTACATATTTAATTCTCTTTCAAAAAAACACAATATAAATATACATTAATTTTATATTTAAGAGTCTGTGCAGGTTTTACATATCGTGAGGCTCTGTCTACTGTTTTGCTTATTATTCACAAAATTCAGTGTTTATTTTAAATTGAGAAATGTATGTTTTTACAGATGCTTAATATTCAGTCAGACCCAATCTTTGTTTGTCTAAGTGCAGTGGCTGATATTATTGTGCGACACTGATGTTCTGTTTCCCTGCAGAATGCCCTTCCAGCGTCAGCGCCCGTCCAGTGTTTCTACTCTGGTACGAAGCCCATAATGCACTGCCACGGGCACGCTCACACACTCATGCGTGAAACGAGAAAGGACACTTTTTTTTCTGCAGTGTGGACGACTCAGCGGCAGCACCCGACCCAACACTGGGGCTAACTCTTGCTTCCTGTGTGCCTGTGGTGCAGTGTGTTTTGACCCTGGTCGTCTGGACTCAGATCCCTGCTGGTTCTTCATTCTAGCTCTCTGATCGGGGAACATTTCACATCTGGTGGAGGAAAATTAACTGGCCAGCAGCAGGAAAAAACAAACAAACAAAAGGGCTGCTCAGAAGACCTGCTTTCGAATTGTATGTATCTCACAAACCTACAAGATTAAATACACACAAT